TATTCTCTTTCCATCGTGCTCTCTGTACTTCTTCACAATATTTTACAGATTCTCACTTTATCTTTAAATGTTTTTGACAACTGGCAGTTAGCATAAAGGTCATTGTACGTAATTATTCGTGTAGGCAACCAAGCTAGTACAAATTACGTTAAAATAAAAATACTTCAAATACCAAATAATATAAGCTACATTACTAATAGATATAATATAATTGACATAGTTGTTCAATATATTGAACCATGATCATCAATGTAAAGCACATAATTTAAAATATATTAGAGCATTAAGCTTTTATTTTTGTTTTGAATACTTTATCTGCAATAAGTCAAATGTGATTTTTATAAAACACCCCATAATGTCTTAACTTTTACTTATATTTTAAAGTAGTAAATAGTTTTCTGGCACGGTACATTTTAATTTAGTTGAAAAACTAAATTGAACCAGAACCCAGCACCAATACTAGTTCCAAAACCTTATCATTTACAATCTAATTAACTTAAAAAAAAAATATTAATTTACGAATAATAAGGAGACATATTCGAAGTTCGAAGAGAGGGGGAGGACACGGTAATCCTCGAATCCGGCAACTTGCTCTATCACCGGGAGGGCGACCATCTGTCCCAAGGAGGTGTCGGATTTATCGTCCACAAGTCTCTCGTTAAAAACGTTGTAAAGATCGGGAGTGTGTCGACGTGGGTTGCGTACCTTATACTCAGAATCACCAAACGGTATTCGCTGGAGTCATACAGGTTTACGCACCAACCTCGGCACACCCCGATGAGGAGGTGGAGGAAATGTATGAGGATATCTCTAGAGCCATGCATTCCTCCAAAACCCAATATACGGTGTTAATGGGAGACTTCAATGCAAAACTAGGCACAAGAGAGAACGGTGAGTTGAAAGTAGGGAAATTTGGAATAGGGCAAAGGAACCCAAGGGGCCAGCAGCTGGCCGACTTCATGGAGAAAGAGGGACTCTTTATGATGAACTCTTTCTTCCAGAAGCGGCCCCACAGGAAGTGGACCTGGTCGAGCCCCGACGGTTCGACAAAAAATGAGATTGACTTCATTATGACGACCAGACGACAATTGTTCAGTGATGTCTCCGTGATCGCGAGGGTGAAAACTGGTAGCGATCACCGAATGGTTAGAGGCACACTGAACCTAAACGTTAAGTTGGAGAGGTCTCGTCTAATGAAGTCAACGCTCCGTCCCCCTCGTGCTCTATTCCAAAGTCCCGAAACCTTTCAGCTCGAGTTACAAAACCGTTTTCAGTGTCTAGAAGACTGCAATGAAGTGGACGATATGAATGACAAGCTCGTGGAAACTGTCCATGCGGTCGGAGCTAAGTTCTGCAAGACCCGCCGCAGAAGAACACAAAAACTCTCCGATCACACTCTTAATCTCATGGCTGTTAGACGGGAGATGAAGCTACATTCTTCAACAGACTTGACAGCATACAGGCATCTGAACAGACAGATCTCCAAATGCATGCGGCGGGACTTACGCAACTTCAATACAGCTTGTATTGAAGAAGCGATCGAGCGGAACCAAGGCTCCAAAAGTCTTTGCCAGAGATCTGTCTGCCAGAAAGAGCCAACTGTCAAAGCTGAAGACAGAATGTGGCAGCATCGTTTCCGGGACACCTGAGATTTTGAGTGAGATTGAGAGGTTCTATGGGCAGCTGTACACGTCATCGTTGGAGCCACACGCAAGTGTGAGTAACGATCCAAGAGCGAGTCTCATCCGACACTATTCCGAAGATATCCCGGACGTCAGTCTGAGCGAGATTAGAATGGCTCTCCAGCACCTTAAAAACGGTAAGGCCCCAGGCGAGGATGGAATTACAGCGGAGCTTCTGAAAGCGGGTGGAAGACCGGTACTTGAAGTCCTTCAGAAGCTCTTTAATTCCGTCCTCCATGGTGGCATTACACCGGAAGCGTGGAGCAGAAGTGCGGTGGTCTTGTTCTTCAAGAAAGGTGACAACGCTCTCTTGAAGAACTACAGACAGATTTCCCTTCTGAGCCGCGTCTACGTGCTGTTTTCGAGAGTCATTACGAATCGTCTCGCGCGCAGACTTGACGACTTCCAGCCTCCCGAACAAGCCGGTTTCCGAAAGGGCTTTAGCACAATAGACCACATACATACCCTTCGGCAAATTGTACAGAAGTCCGTAGAGTACAATTTGCCACTATGTCTGGCGTATGTGGACTATGAGAAAGCCTTTGATTCCGTCGAAATTTGGGCGGTGCTGCAGTCCCTTCAGCGGTGCCAAGTTGACTGTCGGTATATCGAAGTGTTGAAGTGCTTGTACAGTAGGGCTACGATGGCTATCCGAGTACAGAATCAGAGTACGAAACCTATCCAATTGCAGAGAGGTGTAAGACAGGGTGACGTCATATCCCCGAAACTTTTCACCGCTGCATTGGAGGACGTTTTCAAGCTTCTGGACTGGAAAGGATACGGTATCAACATCAATGGCGAGTACATCACTCACCTTCGATTTGCCGACGATATAGTCCTTATGGCAGAATCGCTGGAGGACCTAAGCACTATGCTCAATGACCTCAATAGTGTTTTCCAACGGATAGGTCTTAAGATGGACATGGACAAAACAAAGATCATGTTCAATGTCCATGTCACACCTATGCCGGTAGTTGTTGGGAGCACTAAGCTCGAAGTTGTTGACGAGTATGTTTACCTGGGACAAATAGTCCGACTAGGTAAGTCCAACTTCGACCGAGAGGTCAATCGACGGATTCAACTCGGCTGGGCAGCGTTCGGGAAGCTACGACACATCTTCTCGTCAGACATACCTCAAAACCTGAAAACCAAATTGTACAACCAGTGCGTGTTGCCAGTGATGACTTACGGAACTGAGACGTGGTCCTTCACTGCTGGCCGTATGAGGAAGCTCAAGGTCGCTCAGCGAGCTATGGAGAGGGCTATGCTCGGAGTTTCTCTGCGTGATAAACTTAGGAATGAGGATATCCGCAGTAGAACCAGAGTAACCGATATAGCCCAACGGATTAGTAAGCTGAAATGGCAGTGGGCCGGCCATATAGCTCGAAGAACCGACAACCGATGGGGAAGAAAGGTTCTCGAGTGGCAGCCTCGTACCGGCAGGCGAAGTGTAGGGCGTCCCCCCACGAGATGGAGTGACGACCTGATAAGACATGCAGGAAGTCGATGGATGCAGGTGGCTCAAGACCGTGCTTTGTGGCATTCTTTGGGGGCGGCCTATGTTCAGCAGTGGACTTGTGAAGGGCTGTAATGATGAAGGAGACATTTGTAATAAAAAAAAATGTTTAAATGATTAATGAAAAATCCAAAGTAAGTATCATACAAAAGAAAAGCTATGAAAGTTGGTATCTTTAGATTCTAGCATTTTCATTGATTTCGTATTTTATCGCTGTAAATAAAATATAAAATTATAATATTTTTTAAGTTTGAGTAATTTTGTTAATTTTTCATCATGATATGAGGTTAAGAGATGGTGATAAAAAAATGGTTAGGTATTATATCCAGGTAAAGTTTAATAAAAAGATATGTTATTAATTATTATAAAGAAGTGTTTTTCATTTATTCATGCATTACACACTATCAAAACTTTACTGCTGAATATAGGATTCCTTAATAAACTGCCTTATAGAGGGAAAATTGCCATTGTTGCCAAACTAGAGTTGTTATCAGGAAAATGTTGCCATGAAGTGGTGATGTAAGAGAAATAGAATAAACTACCTCATATCATACCTTGGGTGTTGTAGAGGCGACAGAGGGAAGTGAAATAGGAGATGGGCAGCAGCATCTTCTTGATAAGGTATGTAAAACGTGATATGTTCATTTAAACTTATTTAAAACAGAAGAGAATGTTTTATGTATTGGAGCTTTACTTAATACCTTATTCAAATTGATAACTTTCATAAGGATAAAATAAAGGTTAACAATAAAAGTAACAGTCAAGAAGAAAATATAATATAAAAATCAAGTATGTAATCCTGGGCCTAATTTTTATCAGTGTTAAAAAAAATTGATTATTTCCTTTTGCTTACAAATTTTCAATACAATTAAAAAAAAATTAAAGACAAATATTCGTCATATATAGAGCAATTCTTGTATATAGTATTGTAACGTTGAGTGAAGCTCGGTTCCTCTGGTATGAATGTAAAAAATTAAAATAATTACTTTATTCCTATAATAATTAGTATAAATATAAATGAAGACTAAAAAACACACCACTAATACTTTTTATTGCTATCTCTAAAAAAAATTGATAACAGTCATAAAACTTGAATCTTGGCATGAAAAAATTCCAAATGAAATTAGAGTGGTTAAACTACATTATTTTAGGAAAATCAAGTAAAATTAAAATAAAATTCATACATATAGGTACTAAGATTTTAATAAATTAAGTCTATATAAATGTTGAAAAAGTTGACTGAAGGTAGGAACAAAATTAAACTATGTGTATACTTGTGTGACTTTTTTTTAGAAATAGTAACACCGTACCTATAAAATAATATGGCATAATATTGAAAAAGTTAAATGGCAATGTAAAACTTAAAGACAACAATCAACTTTGTTTGTGAAGGAAATTAGCAATAACTTACTAAAGTGAAACCTAACTTTCACTTGTTCATGCAAACTACAATAAAGTTAAAAAGAGTTGTGTTGCAAAATAAAAATAAAAAACATAATTTTATTTGTTTACATTCATGTTCATTCTCTGGCAAGTATACAAATACATTCTATATAAGAACATGTTTATTAAGCAATATTAAATATCCATATCATTATGTCAAACACTTTAGCATACCAATAAGTGCAAAAATTTGTAAATACTTAGTGTAAATAAACCAATTGACACTGTATAAAACAAATCGATTGGCTTATATTTGCGACGCGATTTAAAGAAACATTTATATGAATGAAGAAAACATGCAAACTAAAAAAGTAAAAGCCCGATTCTGACAGATAAAACGATATACAGAATGTGTTTACCAATGTGTCTTGATCACCCAATTCCCTGTAGTAAGATTCACTGCTATTTCGCCTTCTTTCAAAACACATAGCACGACGTAACAGACCGGATAGCATCGAACAAAACCCACATTGTTGCATAGTTCTATTTTCTTTTAAGTAAGAATAAAAATACAAGTGTCCAACTCGAAAACCGCCGAGACCGACACAGCGAGATTTACTTCGTCAAAACACACTAAAACATTAAATGTCTGAAACTTATTTCATTTTATAACATGTATTATTATTATCCCGTTAAACGGAATCAACGGAGTTCATTATATTTCATGAGTGACTCGAAAGAAATAGTTTAGTAAAATTATGCGGTATGCGAAATTGAAGTTATCAACACGCGGCAACCTAACCGATAGCTAGTAACCAACTAAGAGATACGGGAGCGCGCGGCCTGCCACGAGCCACGACCATACCGGTACGTTTGCCTAGATGAACGCACGCCACCGGTTTCGCTATCTAGCTATCTATTATCTAGACGGATTGGTGGCAAACCGATCCACGTACAATTTGTTTGATATTTTAAGTGCTAGGTTCTTCATGATATATTACGCAAATTTAATAAAAAAAAAAACAAATTACTAACTTATCTTCATTAAAAATAAATTGTCAATCAAAGATTAATATAATATTATGTAAAAGCGCCACTATAATACATATTTTATAAATTTGCCACATAGTTGTATTTATGCCTTCTACTTTTTGTTCTAAATAGGACAATAATATTTTAAGTTTAATTTTGTCTGTTTCAAATAAAGGCACAAACTAATATCATATTGAAATGTCTAATCTACAAGTTATATGCTTCCACACAGAGACCGTACTCTATCATTGCCATAGACTAAAAATGAAAATGCGTAATTGCATAAAACATTGTCAGGTGCCAGTCGGCAGGCGTGTGGCATCTGTCATATTATTTTTATAATGTAACATTAAAACAAAGAAAATATAATTACTACGTTTAAGAGGCGGGACTTCCATAGTAAAAGCAAATATATGAAAGGACGCCAAACTACTCTACCAACATCAAGATATGACATTTAGTTTTTGACAAACATTGCTGACAACGTTTACCATAGAGATATATACCTAAGAAGAGGGCATATTCCACTATAGAAATAATAGTTGTACAAATATCTATAATATCGACACACACTTGTCTAAAACAGTTTTGTCTCTTTTTAAGAAAGCAGTAGCTGCAATAGAAAAGAGAGACATCTACAGTTTGTAAAGTGCTTATTTTGGTAATACTTTCGTGTGACGTCATGAGCTCATACTTGCGCGACTGCGCCGCCATGTTAAGCGCCAAGTTTTAGGTAGATCTGCTGTCAAACTGTCAAAAAAGCAGTGAAGTAGTCTCGTACACTCTTATCCATGGTGTCGATAAAAATTATTTTAATAAATTAATTTTGTTCAGAAATGAATATATAATATTAATAATAGTTTATAAATCCTGGATATCATATTTCATTCACCGTTTCATGATCATGCCAGATTTTAGAATTTTAAATGAACAAAATTAATGTACCTGCGAAAATAATAATATTTTTGATTTAAAATCTGAATAAAAAAATATGATATTCAGCAGGACTGAACATGCTTATATAACTTACCATTTGTGATCAATTATGTGTAGAACGTTCCTATATACCAATTAATAATAAATAAGTATTGATTTTAAAAACAGTTTATTTAAGTTTTACTCAACTAATCATTATTATTTTATTTTAAAAATATTATAATTACAAAGTGGAATCTCTATCCCATCTCCATACATTTGTTTACTGTACAATATTATTGTACAGTAAACAAAGGTATTTGGTATACAAGCAAAAGTATTCCTTTTCCTTCTACTCTGTCAATATTCATTTTTATTATGTGCGTTATAACTTTTTAACTTTGTTCACATTGAAATAAAACAAAACGTGTGTGTGTGTGTGTGTGTGTGTGTGTGTGTGTGTGTGTGTGTGTGTGTGTGTGTGTGTGTGTGTGTGTGTGTGTGTGTGTGTGTGTGTGTGTGTGTGTGTGTGTGTGTGTGTGTGTGTGTGTGTGTGTGTGTGTGTGTGTGTGTGTGTGTGTGTGTGTGTGTACTTATGTACAGATGTAAGACATTATACTTCTTTAGCGTAACGAAACAAAAAAAAACTAAAATAAAACACGTTTTATACATTCATATATATTTGAATAACTACCTCAAATATAGTTATCAGTTCTCAGGAAAACTTAACAATTGACAGACAATTACCAATTGAAGTTGTAAAAAATTCACTCTCATCATTTTTTCAAACGCGCCAAACGAAGTATAACTTCAAAACTTGAGTAAGCACTTAGCACACTCAGAACATTCTTTACAACAAGTTGCAAGTTAGCTGCCTGCATACTTAACTCATTGTTTGACTGTGTACCTAACACAAAAAATCTGTAGCAGTGTGTGCATTGCATAAGTGTACATATGCAGTGAAGAATATATATATTCGTGTTTTGATCAAAAAATAATGTATTTTTTGATCAAAACACGAATAAAGTGTATTATATATTGTGTACGTGATTTTTTGGTTTTAAAACAACTAACGTTTTTGTTGATATTTGTATGTCATAAATGAAGTTCAGGAGAAAACAAATGTAAAAAGTACTACGTAATTCCCGACAAAAAGATTGTTGAGATAAATCACGGTACCTACGCACAAAATTATTTCATTGCATTCATTAGTGTGTACTAATGCACACTTCAGTGTCAGGGGCATCCAGGACTTTGTTTTACATGGGGAAATGAGGTGGGTAAACAGAATAATCCTGAATACTAATTTCTGTTCAGGTATATGTGTCTATCTGGGCTACTAAAATGCTAGGGTACAATCATAGAAAATATAATTTATTTGTTATAATATGGTACGTTACAGTTGTTATAAAAGAATTCGCATAAATAAAAACAAATATTCTGCTGTTTCCGGCGTACAAATATTTTCATATAACAGGTCCTCAGCGTGTCAGAGTATGCCTTGAGCCTTGACAAACATTTAAAGCCTGGATAATGTCATAAAGGTTAACAGTCCTATGAATTATAGAAAGTGAAACATTAGGTCAATCATGTTTTGGATACTTAAGGTAATATAAATAAAACAGCTTAATTTTTTATTTATTTATCCTACTTTAAAATCCAAAATCCTTTTACTAAAATGCCATCCAGAATTGAGGCCGAAGCGGTTATGGAATTTTGATACCGAGCCGAACCCAAATACCAGACAACGGTCATTATGTGGGCACAGCAACCCACAGTCTGTTGTCCAGAAGTGCAACTGCAATAATAACCTGCAATCATCTCATCCCAACTTGTACCTTGTCTCGCCAACTTTGCTTGTTTGCAAAACATTGTGAACATATTGGTGCATTTTCATCCATCTAGAACAAAACAATCTTATTTTAATAAACTATCTATATTGCAGAAGCACATCTTAAACAATGCAACATGTTTTAACAGGTGAACTGAAAGATAATTACATCATATTAAGATTTTGCAGCCATTATTCTTAAAATAAAAAAAAATTATGAACTTATGTAGAAATTAATAATTATTAACAGACGATAGAGAGATAAAAGCATGTCATTCAAATGCGTTTAACTTTCTTAGTACAAACCTGCTTACTGATTCAAAATGCGATTTAACAGAATACAGATGTCCGATATCAACGAAATCAAAATCTCACGTAAATCATTAAGTCCATAAAACAAAAGCAGATTCAATCAAATAGTAACTGACCCAAAGTCCAAACAAAAAACCAAATCGCCAAAGAGATCCACAATTAAAGGCATTCCCGAGTTCAAAACTACACAAATCGCTCGGAATAAATAAAAATATCATTTGAAAGAAATGACATGTGACAAATAACCGTGTCTTTTTTACTTTTTTATGACTGGAAGGGCACCATCTTGTAAAAGCATCAAAAACTTGGGATTGAATTTTTATTTTTAGCAAGTTATTTAGTTTGATTTATTCTCTCATTTTATTTTTAACAAAATCCCTGAATTTTTCTCTTTTTCGGTATACTGGACATAGACTGGGCCATAAATGGACCGTCTCCTTTAGAATTTACTTCCGTTCTTTCTGTTTCTGACGTCCTTCAATTTTCTTTCTTTGGCCATAGACACGTGCAGATATACTTTTGCCAGGTTCAAGGAAATTATCTTTTACAATTAAAAACTTGTTCAAAAACTCGTTTGATGTTCTTTGTACTTATTTCTTTGGTAATGGACTCGTACGGTTGTACTTTTGCCAGTGTTAAGTAATGGGAAGTTATACTTTATTTTTAACTTATTTAAAAACTTCCCTACATTATATTTAATGCATCATAATACGAAGTTCTTGGGAGATTTTGATGACAGTTTGAGCTGGCAGACAGTTGTTAACGAGATTATTACAAGTTGCCAAAATAGATAAAATAAAATCTCATCACTTATACGCATGATAATCTACTTCAAATCAATAATTAAACAATAATACAAAAGCACTTGCAGTTAAGCTTCTGACAAAACTCCTTTGTATTTTTTAAATTTATTAATTTAATAGAAGTGCTCGTTTTCATTCTCGGAGACTTTAATGCTAATGTAATATTCCTCCATGGCTCGCAAAGCGACCTTGAGTTTCCTCATTCCATTTTCAGCTAACAGTGAAAGTTATTTAGTTTAGTTGAAAATATTAAGTACTTACGACTATAAGAAATTTCTGTTTACGTTTTGTGTGCAAAATAATGAATAATGTGACGCGTGGTGTAAATTTTAATGCAGCATGTTGCTTATTACAAGTCCACTGTTCTGCAATATAGAGATTATGGTAGAATCGCTGGACAACCTCAGTATTACGCTAGAGTGACGCATAAATATACCACAATTTTATTTAAGAATTTTTTTAAAAGAGTACTTTTAAACCATAAAAAGCGAGATGGGTGTATTATCAACAAATTCGACATCGATATACACATTTTGTTCATTTATTTTTTATTGTTATAATATTACAATATACATATGTCGTGTCGTCGCGTGGATGAAAATAATTCTAAATCATGATGTCAACCTGGGGTCTACAACTGCACACT